CCGAGTGACACGGGCGCACACCCGTGTCATTCCTTCTTAATTAACGACGACTTCCGCCCGTCAGTTCCCACCGGTCGGCGGTGATCTCTTCGAAGGGATCAGTATAAGGGGATTTGGTCTGGGTTCAAATGAGAGGCAAAAAGCCCCTCATTAATGGCGATTAGACGGAGCGTGGCGCAGACCACGCTACCTAACAGCAGCAGGCGCACGCGCAGGGCGCCTTACCCGCCGTCACATCAATCATTCCGGCTTCAATTGGTAGTGCGCCTGCACGTCACATTTAATGCAACGTGCCGCGCTTACTATTGACGGTCGTTATCGATCAGTTTTGACCGTCAATATTACCAAAATAGAGGAGAACTAGTGATGCTTGCAATGCATAAATATGTTAGAATAATAATATTCCACTAGTAGTAGGTATACTAATATTTTGCAGAGAATGACACTAAAGTGGAGGAGAATCGACATCAACATAGAAGATAAATCAATCGGACGATGTCGAGAATCAGAGTTATGAATGAATGGGCCAAGAACGCAGAATTGACACGATGAATTATGCCAAAATTCACAAGTCTACGAAGTGAAGCAGCGGAGGAGGCCACCAGCCAAAATGTGGGCTGGTTGGGCCGACTCTTGGTTCGGCCGAACCAGGGGGTTCGGCCGAACCTATGCCAGCGCCGATGGATGCAGGGTTTTGAGGGAATGGTGGAGATTCACTCCCTATGGCGATTGGAGGGTATTACCGACCTTTCCAACCGCCATAACCGTCATTACCTGCCTATTTAAGGAGTTCACTCTCTTCACTTCAACACACACCTCAAGCAATAGCTCTCTCATTTCTCTCAAGTTTAGTTTAGTAGTATCTAGCTGGTGGAATAGGAATAGAGTAGAAATCAGGAGTCCGGAAGTCTTCGGAAGAGTTCGGGTATGGCTCTAGTAGCTTTCCTTTCCTCTTTTGTAAGCTTTGTACTTTTATGTTCTTCTAAATACATTTATGGTATTGAAATACTTTCTGAGTATATGAGTATCTACTTTACATTATGTTCATGTTATACTAAATATACGGCTAGCTTATCTGGGAGATACTTTGGTGTGGGTATAATGTTTGCTTATGCAATTACTCTATGTCATGATGATGATATTAGAGTAGTATCTGGTAGTTTAGGCGCGGTGTCTAGATTACGGGATATCATTATTTGTTATATATTGCAGATGAGAGGTGGGCCGCTGATGGTGACAGCTCAGTACGGGTATTCCTCCGCGCCGGTATATAATCCTAAGTTAATTTCCTGGGGAGGGTATTCCTCCGTATTTAGCCCTGGTTGTATGGTTATGACGGGCTGTCGTAAGGAACTCGGCAGTCAGGGGTGGCTTCTCGAAGTACCAGGAGGGCATCGGATAGAGGGTATTAGCTAGTATAGCAGTTAACTAGAATGTATGTATACTATGCATATTAGAAGTATAGGAATAGATTTTCTTTCTCTTTTCTTTCCACCTAGCTAAGATAATATATTATGAGAATGAGTAGTAATGCTTGTGTGTCATTCTACCATTGGATTATCTTAACCCCTACTTAGAATATGATTATCACAAGTAATATATAAATTATTAGTCAAGCTCTCTCTACATGATTTTCCCACGGGATAAAATAAATACGATATCCTTGGAATACTCTCGGGTGAAATGCTACAATGGTATAACCGTGTGCTTGCGGATGAACTCTGTAACCATAATATACCAGGAGTATTTCTGCGCCATTGCTGGGAATTATATTTCTAGTAATGTCGTTAAAAAATACCAACACTTACTGTTCTCAATAAACGTAGTGGGTGGGCGCTGGGAGTGTCCGCCCAAACCACACACGTGTGGCGGTGCGTGGAGGGGGTTGAGGCGGCCTGACCCCTTTCGTGAGGGATAGCCAGCATACCAGCCCCGGTGCGACCCCCCCCCCCAAAACCCCCGGGTCGAAAAGCGCCATGTGGGCTTGAGGCAGACTTTTCCCTTTGTATGTAGTACCTCAGGCCCATATCACCGATAATATTGATCTGCCGATTTGTCTCGTGCATATCAAAGTAATATATGTTGGTTGCTAAAAGGCCTCGCACATGAGAATGAGAATGTAAGTTAAAAATCCTCGCGCATGAGAATATAAGTTTAAGGAATAAAGATCAAGTGCAGAAATAGACTGTGTCGCATCGCATGGCGGAAGCAAGATGAACTGGAACCGAACACGAAGAGGGGAGCGTGCACACGGACAGACCAACGACGTGGGGTTGGAAGCAGATGAGCACTGAGTCGCACGCGTCGCTTTCGGACGATGGATGATCACGATGTGATGGACGGAAAATTATCAATTTTTTAAGTAGTTTAGATTAGATTAAAAAAGGAAAAGAAATTAGAGAAAAACTCTAATCAATAATGCTTAATTCTTCTTAAGTTCTTAAAAAAAGAGAGAAACTCTTTCCAGTTTTGAAAATAGAAAAAAAATAGGGCAACTGCAAATTAACCACTGTTTTAAATCATTATTGCAAGACTACCACTAGAAAATTACAAAATAACACTAGAACTGTCATTAAGTGGCATCCTTGCAAAATTAAAAAAACCGGTAGTAAATTTGCAAATGCCAAAAAAAAAATACGATCAACGTATCACTTGCTGCCTTCTTGGAATTGCCTTCTGCGAAACAAAAGCGAAAAAAAAAATCAATAGGTACATGTTAAAGTTATATGTGGGATTGTGGGTGCCAGTGGTGCGGCCAGGGCTGTTGTATTCGCGAGCGAACATATGTTTGACCTGAACGTAGAGTCGGCTCCACGGCGGCGCATGAAGCACCAACAACGGTCCAACGGATGGATGAAAAACTAAATGTGACGATTTAAAAAATCTTTTTTTAAAGTAGGTTAGATAGATGTACTAAGAGCAGTTTTATATTGGATGTGAAGACACCTCTAATTTTATCCACATCATCAACTAATTAATTAAGAGATAGTATATACAATAAATTACCTCTAACATACTTACTCCAATACACCATATTAATTTTACTATATTTATTTCCTATCAATTTATTGACCTCTTGCTCTTATCTCTCCTGAAGTTTATATAGAGGCTGCCAATTGTATGAGATGTGGTTCCTTCTCTCTTTATTTCTCTCATCCACCTCATCATATGAATTTATATGATACTCCTAGAGTAGTAACTAGGACTTAATTAATGAGTTTTTATTTCGTGTGCACTGGAAATTTCTTTGTAAGATGACTGAATGGATGCGGCCTTATTAACGATTAAAATGCAATTTATGAATAAAAGTTTTATATACATATTCTTAATGATTTGGAAGTAAATGTTAAAAAAGCAAACTATGATGAGAAAGTCCTAAAATTTACTTAAATTTAAGTCTAAAACTAAAATTTTGGTTATGCTTGAAGGCTGTACAACGGGGATAGCTAATCCTCTATCCTCTTCGGAAAAAAAAAAGAAAGTATATGTGACTTTTTATAGTACAATAAATTTGGACATACAGTGTGGCCCCACCACCACCTTCCTATCCACTCTTCCATCGTGGGGTAGCGTAGTACTACTACTCCCTGCGTCCCCAAAATATTACTCTCTCTATCTATCATTTTGATAGCTATATTTTTAAATTAAGAAAATTATTTAATAGGCATATTTCAATCTAACCGTCTATCATCTTAATAACTTTCTCGGATTTAATGAGAAAGTAATCTCATAGCTTCTAATTTCTCATATACTTTATAGCAACAAAATTATAACCATTTGAAAGTAAATTTAATTCTCAATCTAATGATATATTTTTTAACAAATAAAATTCATTTCATATTATAAGTATTGGCCAGATGTTTTAAAGATTGAATCTTAAAATACAAGCACGTCTTATATTATGGGATCGAGGGAGTAGTAACCTAGTAGAGCTAGATGGAAATCACCTAATCCTAACCTAGTAGAGCTAGATTAAACATCACCTAATCCTATGTGCATACTCTCTCAGTAAAAGAAAAACTCTATCTGTAAAAAAAAGATGGGACAATGAATTTGGACTATCCTTTCATTGTTCTGGGAGATCTCCTCCTAGGTTGAGTTTTTTTTATAGAGAGAGAGTATAAATCTAGATATTGGATTATCTTCATCCTAAAATATAATAAATTTTAGCTATAAATATAAATAAAGAGAGTAATACCCATCTACTTTTAGATTATTGTATTCTTGTCATAGACTGAGGAAGTACTCCCTCCGTCCCAGTGTATAAGCCAGATCCATCTAAAATCTCTTACTCCCTCCGCCATATAATATAAAAGATTTTGGATGGATGTGACATATTCTAGGATAATAAATATGTCGTACTAGATGTTTATATTATCTAAACTTATACTCCCTCCATCCCATAATAGAAGGGATTTTGAGTTTTTGCTTGCACTGTTTGACCACTTGTCTTATTTAAAAAATTTATGCAAATATAAAAACCGGTAAGTTGTGTTTAAGGTACTTTGGATAATAGAGTAAGTAAAAAAAAATAAATAATAATTCTAATTTTTTTTTAATAAGATGAGTGGTCAAACACTACAAACAAAAACTTAAAATCCTTTATATTACAAGACGAAGGGAGTAGTATATTTTAGGACGGACAGAGTAGCAGTAAGAGCAAGGTAAATAGTGTAGCCCACTACTAGCTCTAAATCGTCTATAGCCAATATAATAGCCAATTCATACAATAGTTGTTTACTATACTATTAATACCTGATCCCACCTGTCATACATACACTACGTCTTGAAGTCCGTGCTAGAGCTGGCTACAAATCTATAGCCTGCTGCTCTTCTCTCTCCTCATTTATCTTTTTAAAATATGTTTACAGCTGGTTTATAACCTGCTATTTCACTTGCTCTAACAATAGAGGAGTAGCACACGCCAGTGCATCGCCACCGATGTGACCCATCAATGCTTACGCCTGCCCGATTCCCACGCCACGTCTCGTCCATCTGACCAACCCTGTAGTACTCCACGTCTCTATGGCGTGTCTCTAGTTCTATACCCTCCTCTGCGGCTGCCACGTGGGCCCCACACCACGAGCGGCGCGCCTAGGCCGCCTAGCTATACTACTACTCCTAGTCCTACTACAAAGCAGAGCACTGAGCACGCCGTCGCGGCTCAAGCTTAGCTAGTACTACTCCAGTAGTAACTGCCGCTTCCCTTTCCCCGTTCGCCGCATGGCACCGGCCGCCGGTGAGCCCAGTGCAGCCGCGGGCGGCGGGGAGGGAGACACCGAGGCGCATGCGGTGATCGACGTCAGCAGCAGCGAAACCGACTCCGACCCCGACCCCGGCTTCGGCGGCGCCGGGAAGAGGCCGCGGCGTGTGGTGGCAACGGCTGGCAGTGGCCGGGAGGCGGAGAAGAGGGCTAGGATTCTGGCCGCCGCCGTTCCACCGGGATTCCTCGATCCGCTACCGCGGCCTTCTGCCCCTCCTCCTCCTCCTCCTCCTCCGCGCGGGAGGAGGAGGGTGACGAGGCAGTTCTGGAATGCCGGGGACTACGACGGCAAGCCGGACCTGCTCGGCGGCGACCCTTCGCTGCGATCCGGTACCGAACAGATTCTCGAAGCTTCTACTATTACCCTAATACTACCTTCGCCGATGTTGCTATGCTTCCAATGGATAGAAACGGAGAGTATTGTTGCAGCTTGCATAAATCGACTACTTGCTTCTTCAATGTTCATGCAAAAGTACTGCATCAAGTTACATTTAACCCATTGTCAATCCCAGCCCCAATATAGCGCTGTGCTACTGCTAGAGAGTAGAGAATTAGATTATGGTGGTGGTAAAAGCTGGAAAAAAACATGCATGGATGGACTAGCTTTTCAGGGATATATTCTGCTTTCTGCACAAAGTTCTAATCTTGGTCTATACTCTCTAGTTCTTTTCACAACGTACCTTGATGCTCTGTTTCTGTTGCATGTTCTTCTGTGTGGGAGTCAACTTTGTTTCAAGACAGTATGCTGTTACAACCAGTGTTGTGGATGACGGAATACGGATGTCGGACGGAGAGGGTACCGTCAACGATTAATCGGAATACGGACGATTAATCGGAATTTGGCGGAAATTTAACGTTTTGTGCAAATATGTGTACATAGCTGATAAATAGCTTGTTTTTTGACAGATAATTGCGTATAAGTACATATATTGACTATATACATACTATTTTCAAATAAAACAAGCATAGCATAAAGTGTAGGTCTGAACATTCATAGTGGTACACCAAATACTGATAGGTTTGGTTTGCAATGCATAAAGGAAATATTAAAAGCATGCCATACGGTATCAACAACACTAAATTAATCCCAAGTAACATATCGATTACTCGGAAGAATCGTAATTACGCCTGGTTAGTTGGCTGATTAGTCGGAAACGGTCGTTTTTTTAGTCGCTAATGACGGCAATTATGCATACTGGAACGATCAACAACCACCGTTTCATCAAAATGTGACGGAGATGTTAGCGTCACCGTACTAACGTCCGTATATACGGCCGTATCAACCGTTATCCATAACACTGGTTACAACACCGGATACATTGCTTTTTCTGCTTATAGCTGAGATACATTTGTTGTTGCTCACTGAGATTTTCCGGTTGTCAGATTCGGGAATGGACCACATTCGCGTCCATCCAAGATTTCTACACTCAAATGCAACGAGCCACAAGTGGGCACTGGGGGGTACGGTCTATTTTTCCCATTTCAATTATCTACTACCGAATATATGCCCATGCATGCAGCCGACCATAAGTTCGCTAACGTTGGCAGCAACAACTTTGTTAATGTATGCTCTTTACTAACATGTGCAGCTTTCGCGGAGCTTCTTGACAACTCTCTGGACGAAGTACGACTTGACTGAAAATAGAACATTGTTTTTGTTTACTGTGTCGGTTCCTCTTGCTTACTCAGGCAGAGCATTTCTTTAAAAGGTTGCGAATGGAGCTACTTATGTGAACATTGACATGTTGGAGAATAAGAAAGATGGAACTCGAATGGTGTCTGTGGAAGGTGAGAAACTATCTTGCTTTGCATGCATGGGTGTTTAGATTTATTTGACACAAGGCATCAGTTTTCGCCAAACCTCTGTTGTGAATCAAATCCATCTTCTACATTGCTTAAAACTGTATCTATTTCATACCCCCAAGGTTGAAATTGATACTCCCTCTCATCCCAAATGTAGGTCTTTTTTGAACCTGGACACAATAATTAAGAAAACAATCAAATGACTTTGTTGCTCTTCATTTATATTGCATTGGGAAAGTTGAATCGCTTTATTTGCGAGAGATATCATCTAGGAGTATTTACCAAGGGCAAACAAGGAGGCATAGTTGAAAAGTTGAGTAGTATTTAGTAAAGAGTTGAGAAGGCTAGAACGACTAGGGTTGTTCATGTTCCATTTTCCAAACCCCTGGTTTAACATGCCACATGTGACAATATTGAGAATTGAATGCCAAATTTCAGTTCATACTAAACCCTATTGCATGTTACATTCTAGAATTGGTTTTGCTGTCCACAGTTCTAATGAAATCGTGTTATTTTAGATGCTTGTAAATGTGTATATCATACCTGAGGTTTCATTCTAAATTGATTCATAGATGATGGTGGTGGGATGGACCCAGATAAAATGTGGCATTGTATGTCTTTGGGTTATTCAGCAAAGAGCAAGGTGAAAGATACCATTGGACAATGTAAGTTTTGGTAGGATAATTATTTAGCCATTTAGCCATTTAGCCATATAAATAATTGATCTGAATCCACATGCTTTTGTATCTCTATCAAATGTTGTATTTTAATTTGCTCAACTCACTCATCAGATGGAAATGGTTTCAAGACAAGTACAATGCGACTCGGTGCTGATGTATTAGTCTTATCACGTAGTTGTGGTAATGGCGGAAGAAGGTTATCTTCTGTTACCTTGAATACTTCAAGATATGTGTTATTCTGATTTTTTTTCTACCATTTTCCATATTATCACTCCTCCATTCAAAACCAAAGCATGTTTCTGAATATGTCAACTCAAGCTTTCCTAGCTTGACAACTAATAGAAGCAAAAGTACTTTGACAACATAAAGTTTTTTATGGTTTTAGGCAGCATAATAATATACTTTTTTTCTTGTGGCAAATATTAATATGGATGGTATAGTTCTAAGCTCAGGATCTACCAGAGAGTGCAAAACTTTGTTTGGCAAAATCCTGAATGTAAAGTCAGCAACATTTCTAACTGTCGCGTCTTCCCATTGCATCCATCTGCGTCTTCCCATTGCATCCATCTTCAGGATGATGGTCGCAGGTTTTCACTTTTCAATGTCACCAAACCAATTTTTCTTTAAAGTAATGTGTCTCAATATTTCATCATCATCTTGGCCAAGTGATATATAATTATCTGACTGTCGAGGTTAGAACATGGCAAGTTCTTTCTATTCACTGAGTACAATTCCAGTAAATATTTCCTGATAATGTGTAAACAGTAGGTTCCTGTCCCATTGTGTGAACACATTTTAATCTTGACCAAATTATGTCTCGTATATTTTGTTCCACATGGACAAGATGCTGATCCTTTTCCCTCATGACCTGGTTGGCATAAAAGGCGCACACAAAGTATTGGCATGCTATCTTACACATTCCTGAGAGAGACCAGGAAAGATGATATTATTGTTCCAATGGTAAGCTCAATTTCATCTTGTGTTGTTGTATCAATTTTACCATTTTACAGACTGGTTCCTTTGACATCAGTTAAGTTAGCTGATTGAATCAAAACTCTGCAATTTTAGTTAATGTCTTCCTTTATTCGTTTTAACCACAGCATGCATGATGTTTGTATACCTTGCAGATTGATTATGAAAAGGGACAACAATATTGGAAAAGGATGATGAGGACAACATCGATTGACTGGCAGACAAGCTTAGCAACGATAATAGAATGGTCCCCTTATTCCAGTGAAGCAGAACTTCTTCAAGAGGTTTATGTTATGTTATGTTGTATTTATATTATATTATTTTATTGGTTCTAAATGCGGATATAGCTGTGTTTTGAATGTGTTCGGAATAGCTTGTTCATTGTTTGCAGAATAAAGGAAAGGGCACAGCTTTGCAAACAAAAACATACATTACCAATGTAGTAAAACCAAGTTACTGTTAGATTACGCGACACATTGTTGAACCTGGCATATCATAAAAATAAAGTACTGATCGTTGTTGCTGATGTCTCTTCTTTTCTTGGCTTAGTTCCTTAAATGATTTTTTTTCTCTGTACTTTGTTACCGTTGTCCTCATCTTCTTTTCTGTGTGTCTAATGGCTTTATAATAGTACAGTTTAGCTCAATCAAGGAACAAGGGACTCGGATTATTATATACAATCTATGGGAGAATGAACAGGGAGAGTTGGAGCTTGATTTTGATACTGATGTAAATGTGAGTGCCAACTAATAATTAATGAAGTCATATAGCCAGCAACAGAAAATGTGGTTAAATATGAAATTTAGTGATGTTTGAGATGGCAGGATATTCAAATTAGAGGTGGTAACCGAGATCAGAAAAATATCCAGCTGGCAAAGCAGTTTCCAAACTCCAGACATTTTTTTACATATAGACATTCACTGCAGGTAGGTTCCAGATTTACTTTGTCTGTTTGTGCCAAAGCAATGCTCTGAATGCTTTTTTTTTTCTTTTTTCCTGAGGAGGCCTCTGCAGTTAATGTATCAAAAGAAAAAGGAAATTTTAGTTTCAAAGAGAAAAACAAAAAAATCATGGTAAAAAGAGAGAGAAGAAATTACAGGGAAGACAACAAAAAAAGAGCCCTCTACTCTGAATCATAATTGATATTAGGAATACCATTTAATGTTGGATGGCTACTTATTTTCTTAGAGAACATGCAAAGGCACTGCATATCATTTTATTAAGGCAGACTTAGAAATGATAACAAGGCTTGGTTGATTGTAGTGCTATTTGCTAATCCACTAATTCTATGGTGAATTTTCTGCAGTAGAAAAGACAGTAGTAAGCATATGAGCCATAAATAGTTCATTGGAAAATTTAGCACACTTACATAAATTGTGCAGAGGATATATGTCAACCTGATGTTACTTCCTTTCTGCAGAGCTATGCATCGATTTTGTATCTTCGAGTTCCATCTGTATTCCAAATGATTTTACGAGGCAAAGAGATTGAACATCATAATATTATTGGTGACATGATGATGAAGAATCATGTTATTTACAAACCAGTGATGACTGATGGATTTCCGAGGGATATCGATGTAAAGATTACAAGTTCTGTACCCATCGTTTCTTGTATAGTGATGATCCCTTAACATATTTTGTGCATGGTTCCTCATCTTTGCATGCTAGATGATGACTGATGTTACAATTGGTTTTGTTAAAGATGCAAAACATCATATTCCCATTCAAGGATTTAATGTTTACCACAAGAACCGCTTGATAAAGGTATTCATTTAGTTATGCCACATATATATTCTTATGATGATGAAAATAAATACATTTTTATTTCTAGCTTCTAAAATGACTGCACATCCATATACCAATTTTACAATTAATGGAAAGTAAATAGATTTGGGATTTGCACATTTATGTTCTATGTTAAATTTCTCTGTAACTCTTATGTTTTAAGCTGATCTATTTTTGGAGTAAAATGCACCATAGGTCCATATGGTCCTGTTGTCAATTGGGCATCGCACTTGGGTTCTTCAAGTTGCGGGCATGTCGCTTTGGTTCCTACTTGCAAGCTGCACATATAGGTCTGTAATTTTGTAAAGCAGTGTCAAAAAAGGTCAAAAACCTTCGGTAGTTAAAGATGATATGATAACTTAGCTCAATCTAAACCACAATGTGACCATGCTATCACCTTTTTTTAGATAATGGAAGATGAGGGATACATCTCTGGTGGTCTGGCCTATGCAGAATGCACCCAGCCAATGTTTCACCATTTGAAGTCATTGGGAAACTAATATTTTTTTGTTTGAATAATAAAGTTTGTTTCTGCGTGCCGTTGATTTTCGATGCTTCTAATTGATGGTAGTTGGCAATAGCATTGTCATATTTTAGCTTAAATAGGATTGAGGTGCCACATTTCCAATTAAGCTCAGTGTCAGCTTCTATTGGTACACCTACACATCTAAGGATCTAGATGTGCAATCATCACGTTGAGGATAAATGATAACGTGCCCACACAAGTTTATGGACTTATCGCACACCTTATTTCTCTTATTACGCTTGGTAATCAACTGAATATTTCTTGTTCTAAGCATGGCCATCAGCCTGTCTTAGGTGATTATAACAGTCAGGATACGAGTCTCATCAGAAGTATATATGTTTTTTTAGCCTTTCTGGAGAGTGTGGGCTCTACCTGGAATTCAAGGGCGTGGTGTTATAGGTAAGAAATCCTTCTATAAGCCCCTTTGGCACAACTTCTTCATGTGTGGAAAGCTGATACTGGAAGAAGCTGGTGACAGACAGCTTCTCCTTCATAGCCGTAAGTTGCTGCAGAATCAGATTCTGTCAAACAGCGACACTTCAACTTCTTAGTGGAGAAGCTGATGTAGAAATTGTGCCTAAGGGGTCTGTAGGTCCCTTCTTCAGACCATGTGTAATCATTATAACTTGCAGGTGTACTTGAAGTCAACTTTGTAGAACCAGCTCATGATAAGCAGGACTTTGAACGCACAAATAGCCTTGCAAGACTCGAAGCACGATTAAATTTAATGCAGAAGAAATACTGGTTTGTCATGTCGTTTTGCATTGTCCATTTGTTGTCTGTAGGCATACCAGTTCTTTGAAGAATTCTAATTAGAGTCTAATTACCATGGAAAACACTTACTTCTGTTTCAGGTCTGATAATTGCCATCGAATAGGTTATGGTGGCAATTCTGCTAACAGAAAATCTGGGAGAGAATATAAAGGTAGGTAGTGACGCAGGGCTCCCTGCTTGCTTTATTTGGATTACTTGGTTTGGTTAATAGCTTAATATTTGTATTTTTTTTTCAACTACATAGTACAAAACAAGATAAACCAAATTGGTTTGGAACTTTAGATAGCCCTGAACGCATGCATGCATACCTTTGAACCTAGCAACCTTAGTTCTTTCTTTTCTTTGCGTTTTCTTTTTGGCAGAGGTTTTCTTTTACACAGTTTTTCTGCATAACCTGTGCTAACAACTGAGAATTTTTTTTTTGTTTCATTCTAAGGACATACTATTATATGTTGATTCAAACAAATACACTGGCATGCATGTCAGTTGGCAACTTCCCTTGTGTGTTCATGTTTGTACATCCATTGCCAAACATATGTCAAGACATAGGCTAAATATGCTAATTATATAGTTGATGCATGAGACAATTGCTTTATTAAGTACCCTATTATTTTGTTGGAATAGAGACACCTGAAAATACTCCACACACAGGACCAACATCAGATCAATCTCCTGAAGGCTGTAGAAGTTCGAATTATTTGCAAAGAAAAAGAAGTTTTGGAAGTCCATATTCTGGATCAAGTAATAACAATAGCAAAACTGGAATAACATCCTTGAACACAAGTAAAATAAGTCTTCCTGAGAGCAGATTCTCTTTAAGAACAACAGCTCAGCAGACAGTTGAGAAGACCAAAAGGACCTTAAGATATACGAGACCACTACTGCACGGTCTATCACATACAAGTAATGATAGTGATGCTCAGACTTCAGGCACCCCATCAAGATCAACTTCTCATATTCTAAAGACACCTGAAAAATCATGCCACAATGAGAATACTTTGCCTTTAATTCCATCTAGTGAAGCAATAAGAAGTGAAGGGACAACAAGATATCAGTCAGAGGTATTTGTGTTCCTCTACATGTAATAAACTTTGTTTCTGTTTCCAATATTTGTGGGTATAGTGGTAGTTAAATAAGCTTTATCATGATCTTACACAGTAAGTTGCATTCATAATGGCTGCAACATAGCAGATAGCACAAAGCTTGGATTGGTTTTTGGTAGATCCTTTACTGTTGAAGTGTTCGATTTCCTTTTGGCCTCAGGAACAATAAGATGAATGTACTCTGCACAACTTATCTCACTATGGGACCAAAAAAAAGAAAAAGAAGCAAATGATAATACCCTACCTTGTTCTTTTCCTCCATCTTAATTACATTGGATGACCTCCTTCGGTCATCCCGACAAAAAAAAAAAAACATACCTTGTTCTATTCCAGTAATTATGTGATGGAAAATAGTTGACATGGGATGATCTCTCATAGTTTTACTTTCTTCTAGATGACTGTTTCAGTAGAGATGACCTCTCACCTTAGGAAGACAGTAACATTCCTCCCATTAAAAGTTAACAAAGTATGTAGTACCAGAAAAAGGAATGCAGATGAGTGAAGTTTAAGTACAGTGTAAATTATAGTAAGAAAAAACTGAAGAGCAATGAGAGATGGTCATTAAAGATGTACTGAATGTCCTAATCTATCCTTCTTTACATTTTGCAAATTTTCCTTGGTTTGTTCTTTACATATCAAGAGCATTTTTTTTTCCTTTTGAGACAACTGATATATATGCTTTACAGGAAAGAAATGTAACAAATAATGGAGATGGACAAACTGTTGATAACCCTGAGACAGTTATCAAATTGTTGACCGATGAAAATTCGTCATTAAAAGAAAGGTAGCTATTACCAGTGCTTCATTCATTTCTTTTTTACGTTTTACTGGCAGTTGTATGGACAATAATAGGCGGTAATCAGTTGAAATCTGAAATCTTAAGTAATGTTGAGAGGTTAAATGTTACTGTAGTTGAATTTAGCCAACATATGGGTGTTTATTCCAGGAACTTTAACATTTGCCACATGTTCCTTTTTATTCCTTTGTTAACATCAGTACCCTTTTTTGAATTATTAAAATTGTTTCCTGATGTATGATCAGCAGAAACTTGTTTGTTTAATTCAAAATTCATGTAAAATTTTTATTTTAAAATCACTTTATTTCCAAACAGAAGTATATGACACCATTTAATATCAAACCCAAGATCATGAAAGCTTGGCTTAGATATTTGGTTTTTCAGTGTTCAATATATCAAAGGTCCTAATCCAATGGATTGCTTGTTAAAGGTTTTCCCCAAATGACACTTAGTTGTTCGCATGAAATAAGATTTGGAACTTAGAGTGACTTTTCCTCTTCATTCTTGTTTTTTTCCCTGTGTGATAGTATCATGAAGATGGAGGAATCTTTGTCAAGAGAATTACATATCGAACGGGACAAGAATAAGTCTCTCATTGAAAGGGTAAGCAATACTAACTTTTACCTGTGGGGCTGTTGGTAGTATACTGTGTGCTTGTCCTGAAATTTTTACTATTTAGCCCTTATTCAAAACTTGCTGCAAAAATGAACCCCGCCAAAAAAGTTCAACAAAAAATGGCCCCTGATCTCTGCACCATCGGACTGACACTGAGATCGCGATGTTGGCATTGACCCTTGCCACGGTGGTGGGTGGGGAGACTGGCGTGGCAAAGGGGGTCAGCACCAGAGGTATTGGCGCTAACCTCCTATTGGTAAAAGGGTAATAGGCTATTCTATACAACGATGCAAAATGTGGTGCAGTGGTGTGATGTCTCATGCTACCAACACATTTATTTTCTTCTTTATCCAAATCATGCCTATATATGCCTAATTCTGACCAGCTAATCGAAAGTATGTTTTATGTTTAGCTAATGTGAACTGTATATTTTTGCAAAAGTAATTAGTACCTTTTTTTAAAAAAAAAAACAAAGAATTTGAACATGTGTGTGTATGCTTAATAATGGTCATTCAAAGAAGAGGGACTCATCCTAAGAAGGCCTTCTTTGGTAAAGCAACAAACTACTATAAGGCCTTCTTTGTGTTGAAGGTGTGCCTACTACATTTTTAAGTTATAGGAGGTTAGTGCCAAAGGCCTCGGGGCTGACCCCTTTGCCACATCAGTCAGCGAGCTCCCCTGCCACCACCGTGGCAGGGTCGGTGCCAGCATCGATAGTGCTGAGTACCTCAGCGCGAGGTCGGAGTCAATTTGTGGTTAAAGTTTTTGGTGGGGTTCATTTTTGCAATAAGTTTTCAAAAGGAGCAAAATAGTCAAAACTTCAGCTTGCCATGCGTTACCCCAATTACAGGTTACCAGAATTTTATTCAACTTTGCACCTACTGAGGACAATTTATTCTTTTTCACTACAGTTTGGTGTAGTGATTTATAGAAACATTTTAGGCGTCACAAAATATACTGACATGACACATGCGATGCGATTTACTGGAGCCAATAATGGCTTGAAGGGTTTGAAAGGTCAGACTGCATTATTTCAGTCTTTGTAACCAAGTCCTTCCATATTTTGTTTTCCAGTTGGAGAATGTTCAGAAGCAACTTGGAACTGCAAACAAGGAGCAAGAAGCATTGGTAGATATCTTTACAGAAGAAAGAGCGCGTCGAGACCAAGAGGTGGAGAACCAGCGGACGAAACTAAAGGTTAGTTAGATCTTAAAACTGTAGTGGATTTATTGCGCGAATGCACCGATCCAATCCGCCTTGTCGTTGAGGATGGCATCACGGCATAACTAAGCTCCTCAGTCGGCATAGCCATTTTTGATGTCGTCTCTGCTGTTCCAGGAGGCGTCGTCCACCATACAGAACCTGCTGGATCAGCTGAATGCTGCCAGGAGCTGCCGCAAGAACTAGAAATGGAATGAAGAAGATCAATTACCTCGTTGGTCCATTGTGGCTATCGCCGTAAAATAAGTTTCCCTTGTACATGTTAGAATAAGCTATATATGTCCCAGATGGTTAATTGGTGCTAGAACAGCTAGCTGTTGGTATGTTTTATGTGCAAGGTATGCAGTGCTGCATTTTCCAGTGCTAACAAAGAAGGGTGAGTCGACCACCACTCTAAACTCGAAAATGTGGGAGATCGACCATATCGGTTTCAGACCTTCAGTATCATTCGATGCAATACTTTGTCTAAACTTGAGCAGTATGTAAAACTGTAGTTCTAAAACTCCTATCATAATGTTAGTCTGGTTAATCTTATATTTTTACGAGTTCACCTTGGTGTGTATTATGTTTCTCGGTATTATAATTGTCTTCCGTGTTGATACGCACATATGCTTTTCCTATGAAGTCCATTTTTTGGTAGTAAATTTATTTTACAAAACATTAATCATGAACTTGGTATATACATGATCACCAAAAGCTTATGTGGAATATGAGGTGATGAACCGACCGGTTAAAGAAACAGAATTGTAGATGTAGGTGTTGACGCAGTAGGTGAACGTTGGGGTGAGGAATACTGAGGATGTTGCCAGAGAGTACGCTGGGGTAAAGCTATAGATGGCCAAAATGGCCGCCCCGCCCGGGGGCGGCTGATAAGCGATCAGCCGCGCGCGCGCGGTCAGTCGCCTCCCTCCTCCCTCTAGTATCTCATATATACTACTATATACATTTTATATATATATATATATATATATATATATATATATATATATATATATATATATTATTTGTTTGGTGCTCCATGGTGCCCGGGCACCATTGTTGAAATTGAGTATATACCCAATTCAAATGAGTATGAAACTTTTTCAATTACTTAGGTATTAACATTAACTACTTTACTAACTAGTTTAAAGCAAGTTTGAACTGAATTTGAACTTGTTTTTGTTAGATTTTGATTCTAGGTATATAGCATCCATACATATAATTAGTTAGGTATGTAATCATGGATTGTGAAATAAAGTTAAATTTGAGTTGTTTTGTTGATAAGTATAGGTATGAATCAAATTATTATAACTAGGTATATACTCACAATTTGAAAATTTTGAAAAATTTGAGTGATTTTGTGCATTAGATACCATGGTGCCCCATATGAGTGTCCTATATATATATACATATGTATATATATCTATACATATGTATATGTGTGTATGTACATATGTATATATATATATATATATATTTCAATGCATAAAAAATATATACACATATACACAAAGTTTATATACGCATAAAATATAAAAATAAATAAAAAAATACATCATGAATAGAAAGTTTGTATACGCGTATATACAAGTTTATATACACATATAGAAAGTTTGTATACGCGTATAGAAAAGTTTGTATACGCGTATAGAAAGTTTATATACGCGTATACAAACATTCTATATGTACGAATACAAACTTGGTATACATACGAATACAAACTTGATATTTATACATCTCGAAAAAAAAAGGAAAAAAAGCCGAACAGAAGAGAAACCGGAAAAATAACAAACCGAACGGAAAAAAAACCAGAGGAAAAAACCAAACAGAAACGAAAAAACCGGTGAAAAAAACCAACCGAACATAAACGAAAAAAAGGGAAAAAAACAAAAAAAACGAAAAACTCGCTCCTCATCCCTGTTAGAGTTTGTGTCGAATATGTGTACATAGTCGGTTACAGTTTAGGACTAGGAGTTGTAATAGGTATTAGGACTAGAGTATGAGTCGGACTCTATCCAAGGTTCTCTCATAAATAGAGAGGCATGCCTGTTGTAACCGCATGGCGACTTAGCATAGCGAGAGGGAGCGACTGAACTCCGTTAACAAATATCGTGTCTCGGTGTCGTCATCGTTTTGGATCTCCTATGACGTTTTCTTCCGCGTTTAGCTAACGATGTTGATTTCGGGGCTGGTTTTATAACAAGTGGTATCAGAGCCTACATGAGGTCCATGGTAGAGGCGCGATGGAGGTGCTCCACACCGCGTAGCCTGCTGTAATGCCCACGGAGGGGCATTGGCGCAAGGTGAAGCATGGCGGAGATCAACGGAGTCTTGATCGGTGGATCGAACACTTCTGGCAGCGGCCGGAACCGTCGATGGCTGCTTTCAACAGGGAGATGACTAGACGTGGTGCTCGGGTTGATGGCGGCGGAAGCGATTGGCGATCCAATCGGTGGGTCAGACACTTCGGGCGGGTGGCTCGGACTTTCCGGTGAGCTACTCTCGACAGGGAGACGTGCGGCCGCACGCTCGGGTTGATTGAAGCTGGAGGCGATCGGCGTTCTCGATCGGTGGATTCGAACGCTCTGGGCGGGGTGGCCCGGGCCTTTCGATGAGCTACGTTCGACAGGGAGACGGCTAGACGTAGCGCTCGGGTCGTTCGGCGGCTGGGAAGACGGCATGCGACTTGTCGGCTTCAGCTCGCGACTAGATTGATGGCGTTTCAATCGGAAGTCGGAGCGGGTGGATCCTATAGGCTGTTTTGGAGGTGTTGACGAGGTATTTGCACGATGGAATTGCTTCAAAGGCGGCGTATTTTGTGGCATATGGCTGAACAAAGCCTAGGGCGAATAGAGCAGCATCTAGTAGCGGTTCAACCCTGGAGAGGTTTTGGTTCAACCTGTTTTTCCCTCTAGCAGACAAGAAGTAAACCACGTGGGCTGTAGATCAATGACAACAGTTGTTGGTGGAGTCGTCGGTGGTGCTTGGCATTGGTGCTAGATGTTGTCAGAGATACGAAGAAGCCCAGGAGGTCAGGGTCGCGGCGGTGTGCGCGTCCTGCGTCGAAGCCGAGCCGGCGACGGAGATCAGGGCGATGCCGAGAAGGAGCTGGCTAGGGTTTTAGCTAGGTCGTGCAGGGTTCGGTCTTGAGGGTTTGTGGTGTGGAAGACACGGACATGGAGTCGTCTCCGGTTCGGTCACGGCGCGGACACAATTGAAGACAAACAGTGGATACCAAGTTTCAACACGAAGGGGAATCGGACGAGGACTACGATTAGTTCATGAATCGGACTCGATTTTTTCCCAAATAAAAGCAGCAGAGGACCACGGGATTGCAACAACGCAATCGAAACAAATCACCTAGCAGAGGGCGAGATTCGTACCCGATTTTCGCAAAGGCGGAGGTGGTTTGGGCGGCGAGGTCACGGGTGGCTGGAGGCGCATCCTTGCAGGCGGTGTGTGGCGGCGTGGTACTCGGCGGCGTCCGTCGGAGCTCGAGCGAGAGCTTGCGGCGGCGGCTGCGGCGGTTCCCGACGAAGAACCGGCGTAGGTCTTCGGTGGCGGTGCTCCCAAGGCGGCGCGGCAGCCTCTTGCGGGGCCGGCGGCTCCCCAAGGTCCGGCGGCGCGGCGGCTCCTCGTGGGTCGGCACAGGCACTAGACGGCGGCGGGAGGCGATGGTGGTGTGCGGCGGCGCAAGGCAGCGGTGTGCGGCAGCTTCGGCAACGAGGCGGCGGCGCATCGGGTAGGGCGGCAGCGTGCGCAGGAGGGAGGAGCGAGGAAGCCGAAGAGAAAAGGGGATCGGCTCGATCTGAGCCGGTCTTTGACCGCTGTTGTCTGGTGGTTGACCGAGTAAAGGAGACCGAGTCCGGTTTTTTGGAGAAAGAGAAAAAAAACTGATTCGGTCCGGCTGGTACTGTTCGAGTTAGTCGGTGGGGTCGATTGAACCAGGGCAGATCAATTTAACAGGGCAACAGCTATTGAGTTGATTATCGTCGATGGCGGCAACGGTGGTTTCCAAATTTGAGGTGGTGAAGTTCGATGGCACCGGGAATTTCGTTCTCTGGCAGATGAGGCTGAAGGATCTGTTGGCTCAACAGAGGATATCCAAGGCTCTTGAGGAGACGATGCTGGAAAAGATGGATGCTGGCAAGTGGGAGGAGATGAAGACGCAGGCAGCTGCAACAATATGCTTGAGTCTCTCGGATTCTGTCATGTACCAGGTCATGGATGAAAAAACGCCGAAGGAAATTTGGGACAAGTTGGCAAGCCTGTATATGTCCAAGTCGCTGACAAGTAAGTTGTATCTCAAACAACAGTTGTATGGTTTGCAGATGCAAGAGGAGTCAGATCTTAGGAAGCATGTGGACGTCTTCAATCAATTGGTTGTGGATCTAAGTAAGTTAGATGTGAAACTGGATGATGAAGACAAGGCCATAATTCTTCTGTGCTCGCTTCCACCGTCTTATGAACATGTGGTGACTACCCTAACGCACGGCAAGGATACTGTCAAAACTGAGATAATTTCGTCGTTGCTTGCACGAGACTTGAGAAGATCAAAGAAAAACGAGGCAATGGAGGCTTCTCAGGCTGAGAGTTTGCTGGTCAAGGCAAAGCATGATCATGAAGCGGGGGTGTCGAAGAGCAAGGAGAAGGGGGCACGGTGCTATAAATGTCATGAGTTTGGACATATAAGGAGGAATTGTCCGTTACTGAAGAAGAGGAAAGGTGGCATTGCAAGTTTAGCAGCTCATGGTGATGATTCAGATAGCAGCAGTCATGAGATTCTCACAGTGTCTAACGAGAAGTCTGGAGAAGCGTGGATGTTGGACTCAGCTAGTTCCTATCACGTGACATCGAAGCGGGAGTGGTTCTCTTCATACAAATCTGGTGATTTTGGTGTTGTTTACTTGGGCGATGACACGAGTTATCGTTTGTTGGAGTGGGCGATGTCAAGTTCAAGATGTATGATGGAAACGAGGTGCTACTTTCAGATGTGAGACACGTGCCGGGACTAAGGAAGAGTTTGATTTCGCTTGGGAGCCTACATGAGACAGGTTGGTTGTATCAGGTGGATTCTAATAGGAAGACCATGAATATCATGAAGGACGGCAAGACTGTTATGACTGGTGAGAGGACAAGCTCATGTTTGTACAAGTTACAAGGAACTGCTGTTGTAGGTGGAGTCATGGAAGATGGGCATGCTGGTGTTGCTGTGCACGATCCTGAAGGCGGCGAGTCTAGCGTAGGCTCGTCAGGCGGCTTGGCGTGAGCTGCGGCAGAACCAACTCAAGTCCTGGTACACGGAGGTTCGAGCAAGTAACAGATTCGGATTGGCGTGGCATATTCGCCAAGGTGGAGTTTGTTAGAGTTTGTGTCAAATATGTGTACGTAGTCGGTTACAGTTTAGGACTTGGAGTTGTAATAGGTATTAGGACTAGAGTATGAGTCGGACTCTATCCTAGGTTCTCTCATAAATAGAGAGGCGTGCCTGTTGTAACCGCATGGCGACTTAGCATAGCGAGAGGGAGCGGCTGCCGGCGTCGACCGGCCGTGAGTCGTTGTAACTCTGAT